ATATGTATATTGGGTTCATATGACATTGTAATGTAAAAAAATGTTTTAAAGTGATGTTTACCAACTCGTGATTATATAAGGGCTCGTTTGGAAGTGCATTTAAAAATACTGAACTTATCTAATGCTTCTTACAAGAAGCCTTAAAGTGTTTTTTTATGATCCACTTGAATTTTTACTAATGATTGGTTTAAAAAACACTTTCACCGAAAGTGTTTTCAGTCATTTTAAAAGCTTTTTCAAACAAATCCTAATAATTCTATAATATGTTAAATAATAACTTGCTCGTAACGAGTTCCGATACCTATTTTACGTCACGTAAAGAAAAAACTCAGGGAAAAGGACGGTAGAAACCCTAAAATTTGGATTAGAATTCTCTCCCATCCTCTTTTTATCATCTTCTCTCACATTCTCTATTTGGTTTTTCTTTTTTTATAAAAATATAATATAAAATATTAACGTAACTTAACCGTGATCGTTCAAATACCAGGAAAAGAAAGGAAAGGAAAAAAAAAAACAGGAAAGAAAAGCCTGCTCTCCAAAATTTAGACCAACTTGCATTTTCAAATTAATATACTCAAAACCCTCAGATTCTCAGTGAACATCTATATTATGGGATGGGGACTGATCATGACAAATACCAGAGCCAATTCTCAATCCCCATTGAGCGTTTGAAGTCACAAGATCAACGGTCCATGATGCTCCTTGCGATATAAAATTCTGTCAGTTGATGTAATTCCAGACCCCCATGAAATAAGAATAACTCAAATGATGTCATGGGCTGCTAATCATGACACAATCTGGTCCAGCAACTACTTGATATTTTCCAAATCGGTGGTGCTATTCCAACTATTTTTACTTTCTACGTATTTTTTATTAATTTCTATCGTTTGATATTCTTCAATTTATTCGATCTGATAATTCAAAAATTAAGATGAATGTTTGAGAAATAAAAATTATTAGAAAACAATTCAGAAAATAAATAAAAATAACATAAATACTGATTCTTTATTAATGAAAAATACTTGCAATACAAAATGAAATAAAGAAATAATTACAGGAATTAAAATGATACTAACTTGATTGAATCATAGATAAAGGCTAGTGCAAAATCTAAGTCATTCGAACAGTATTTTTGTCTTATTCTTATGTTTGTGGTTTTACGACGTCTGCTCGACCAGAATATAACTATCTAATTCTATAACCGGCATTGGATTATAGAATTATGGCGAATTGCTTTGTGTGTTTACTCTCTAGGTCCTTTGGAAACTGAGATTACAAATATATAGGTTGTTTCATACCTTATCAAATACCTGTTGAACGTGTTTGAGAGTGCACAACTCTTTCTAAAAATTGTGTCTCTTAATCAAAACAGTTTTTAATTAATATGTTAATTAAAAACTTAATCCGAAATTATAACTAATGAACTCTGATTTCCAAGGCCTAAGGCTCTTGTCTTGATTAATTAATATTAATTATATTAAGCTATATTACACAAGCCTAATCCACACAACTATAAGGCTCAAGCTTTTAATTCATTACCAAATGGTCCAAATCCTAACTACTAGTATAAAAGACAAAACACATATAAATGCCCTTGGGAAATCTATGTTCCCCGATGTGGAACATGGAGTCTCAAAACTCGAAGTGTATGGATAGCATTACCTTTTCTTAAAACCCGACAATTGTGAGTGAGGAGTGGTTTAGGGCTTAAACTACAATCCGAACCGGTTATGTTGATTGCGCCAAATCGTAACCGACCCAAATGATCGATTTAAATCAACTCGGTTTATTAAGATTTTCAGTTTGAACTGATCGGATTCATAATTTCGTACACAAACGGGTCGCTCTTGATTTTGGGCCTGCCATTGGGCTTCGATTGTTTTAATACTCCTTTTGATTTTGTTACTTGCCCAAGCTTATTTGTTGTGAGTTTGGTTTCTTTGGGCCTTAGATTCCCTTAGCTTCGTGCACAAGTCGTATGTAGATAAGAAGTACTAGGCCTCGAGTTTTTTTCTGCGGTGCTGACGTAAGTAGAGTAACGTCACTGCCTGAAGATTGAGTTCGTGTGTGCAGGATCATGCTACAGTTGTAAGCCATCTCTATGGACAAGGATCCTCTACGGATCCTCTTTGTGGGTATCCGGAGATTAATGAATCGTATCTGTTCATCGTATATCATACAATTAGTTTTCGTTAGATACTATTTATATTTAGTTTTAAATTTAAAATTTAAAATAATTTCTAACGGCACAATGTACGATGAACGGACACGATTAATTAATCATCTGGATCCCCATAAAAAGAATCCGGAGAGGATCCTATTCCCATCTCTATGATTTAACGAATCACATCACCTTGTCCGAATAAGCCCTTTTTTTTTTTAATTTTTTTTAATTTTTTAATTTTGTTATTTTTTACAACGACGTCATAATCCAAACTAGGAGAGCTAAGTGAGTTAAAAAGAAAAATTTAGAATAAGGTATTCTTTAAGAGAATTTAAAACTGCTTTTATTGTCGGATTAAGATACCCTTTAAACAAATTTTACAATTAGTGTAAAGTTCAAACATAATCGACCTAGGATCGAGCTCATTTGTTATAGAACGAATAATTATTATTATTATTTATAAGTGGAGAAAAATATTATTAAATTATATAAAATATCCCAATCAAAACCTTCCTTTGTGGGGGCAGAATTTTGTTTTTGTTTTTGTGTTTTAGTAGAACGATATCGTTAGTGAATTAGATAATTAGTTGTTAAGAGAAAGAGAATCAATAGTTGTTGAATTTGCACTAAGATGTATAGCAAAATTTTGAGTGAAGCAGATGGGTTGTTCCACAGTAAAATTATGCAAGTGCCCACTTTGTAATATCTACGTATATGATTACAACAAAACATGATAAAAGATGAAATATTATTCAGCTAGCCCAGGACGTGTTATTTTGTCAGTTTTTTGCCATGTATATTATTTAGAGTGGGATAAAATAGCACCATCCAAATTATTTTTCTTGGGTTTGTTGGTTCATGTCTCCTATTGGGACTGGCTAATTCCGTCCAAAACTAAGCTGTGAAGATGAGTGAACCCAACGGCGGAGGTACATCCCACCAGGCCCCGGCAAACGGAGGCGGGGCAGAGCACCTTTGCGGCCTAGAGGAGGTGTTATCAAGAAGATTGTGGCCGACTTCGTTAAAAGTTTCTGACTAACTGATTTATATTCTCATCACGTTAGAGCCCAACTAGTTATGTGAAATATCCCCAAGAAATCTCTCATTGGGTGCTGGAATTGTAGTTAGGCTTGGAACTTGTATGGATCTATTTGCAAAATCATATTTGGTGACGATGTTAGTGTCAGTAGTGTTCATGATCATGACTTGTTTGATATGGGGATTCTTGCAATTGGATTTTGTTTTTGGTAATTCAAGTGGCAATGACAATTTTCTTGATTGTATTCAATTTTTTTTTGTGAATTTAGATTAGTTTGTTTTTCTTTTCTTTTTTTGTCGAAGTGTAGGGTGTCAAATTTCACATTTGTTCTAAAACTAGGATGAGAAAGTTCCCTTCACCGTAGTTAGACACGGTTGAGTCGTTGATTACAATGTATCGGTTGTGTGATTTCCAAAAAAAAAAAAAGAGATTTACATAAATGAGTTGAGTCGAGATGAATATCTAGGTGTTGAAACTCGGCTCTAATACAAATCGTAGAGTTTACTCAATTTTGACTCTTGAATAATACAAATTGCAAACAAACTTTATGAGCCGAACATACCAAAAACTAAACCCTGAGATAATTCACCTAGGAAGCCTAGTGTTCATTTTTTTTTAAATAAACGATGGTATCTAGACTAAAGGGGATAGAGAAGTGAACCAAGTCTTACAATGAGTTTGCCATATGTAGTTTAATTTTGCCTTTGGAAAAATCAAACTTAAAACTTCTCACTTACAAATAAAAAAGAAGACTACTGTATCATAGTACTGAGTGGCTAAAAATAAAAACAGAGGTATTTAAGAATACCTCATTTGGAGCATAATTTGCTTGTTGTTTAGGGTTGTTGCTGTTTAGGTTTATAGCAGCAGAGCACCAACCGTCGAACCAAGACCATGATGTTTCATGCAAGCGCACTCAACCATCAGGCTGGGGAGAAGGTCGGTGGCAAGTCTAGTGTTTCTTTTGTTTAAAAGCGTAAAAGATAGAAGAAAAAATTGGGTTTAAATGGGCCGACCAATTGGACCCCAGACTAATTTGGCGTGCCCATCTAAGTGTAACAAGAAACTAATTAAATGTTCTTCTTCTTGTCCCACACGTTGCACGATAATTCAAAACGTTTTATTTTTCTTTGAAGACCACTTATGCAAAAATCAACTAAATTTGAATCTTTTTATTCATCGAAACATTATTCAATAAAGGGTAATGTTAAGGAGACTAAATATGTAGATTAAATTTTATAAACTAAATACTATGAAAATTAATGAATAACATAAAAAATATAACTCCGACGTTAACATTGCAAAATAAAAAAGAAAAAAGTCCAACTGAAAAGGTGGATAACATCCCCTTAAAATCATACAAAAAAGTTGGCTGCAACATGCATTCAAGAAGCTGGAGAGGCATCATGAAGCAGCCACCATTTGTAATCATCCCAGTCAACCCAACCGTTGCACAACGGAATTCATACCCGGCAACAAAATTCAAACATCTGAAGAGCAGAAGAAGAAAAAGCAAAAGCCACTTTTTTCCTCACTTCCCACAAATTAGAGAAATTTTTCATTATAATCAAAACACGGGCGGTGCACTATGTGTTTTTATATAAGTGGTTGAAAATTTTATTTTTTAAGTCATTAACTTTTTAATACATATATCACATTATTTGTATAGTAACCACGTAGTGTACCACCCGTGTTTTGATCACATTGAAAAGTCTCTCCACAAATTAATTAAAATACGACCACCACTATATAGATTGTGTAACCATTATGTTCCTACATTAATTCAAAATCTAGGAAATGGGTTCCTGCATTAGCAAATGCTCACCCAAAAAACACTTTCTACAAGAATTTAACAATGTCCAAGACAAGTTGGTGATTTCACAACCTCCTCCTACGATCACCATCCCTCCAATTTCTGCTTCCAGCAAAATCTCACCTTGTCCTCAATCCCCTTGCAACTCCAGTTCCTCTGCCTCCTCTATCACTTGCACCACAAGCACTTCCAACTCAAGCGCTTCCTCATTGAGCTCAGCCTTGTCAAGTGCTTCTACGGTCTCCAGCTCGAAAATCGACCGGTCTTTCTCCAACGAGTTCTTGTGGTCGTGTTACAAGGAAAACCCGCATGTCATTCGGATTAACTCGATCAAAGACGCAAGCTTTTCGAGGTTTTCCTCATCGGCATTGCGACAAAAGCCGGTTTTGGCCACAGAGGTGAACAAAAAGCTGAACAAGAAGCAGCCGCCGAGCCCGAAAAGGGGAAATGTATCAGTTACACCACAGAAGAGAGTGAGATCAAGCTCACCAACTTCTCTAGGAAGGCAAAAGAGCTTCCGAAAAGAGCCAGAGAGGCCAATGATCTCTGCATATTCACATCCAAGTAGAACTTTGAGGTCACCCTCTCCAAGTAGAAGGTTCAACATGCCAATCCCCCCCAAAGAAAGCCATTTGAGGCCTAATAATGCATTGAATGTTAGGCCTGCAGGTTCAAATTGTTGCGCAACTAAATCCACATCCAGAGCTCGTATCGAGCCACACAACCCCAACATAAATTACAACAATTCGAGCCGGCTTCTTCGGCCGTGTTTGAAGAGCAGAGAAACAGAGATGAGAATTCACAGGATCACATCTAAAATTGATGAGGTTGCAGCTGGAGAAGCAGTAGCTGACTATATGGACTCACTTCCTGCTGAGGACATTGATAACCCTTTACTATCTCTTGATTGTTTTATTTTCGTGTAGATTAGTATTTTGTGTGTGTGTGTGTGTGTGTGGTCCTGTGAATTCATTCATTTTATGGTTTGGCAATGTAGAAATGATCAACTGGATCATCAAACTAATCGATACTGCTGCTGTATATTTATTTATTTGGTTTGTTTTTTTGTTTTTATACAATTTACTTATAGCTTTCAAACTTTTTTGTATCCTCATTTAACTATTTGGTTTAAAGGTAATATGAGGAAGGGTTGACGTGTTTTTTGGGAATTGAAAGAATTGCGTGGTATGTTGTAGAAAAATTAGATAGTGTATATAACATATTTGTGAGTCTTAATTTATGAATATTGATATATTTGGTAGCTTTTTATAGGAGAAAAAACGATATTTAGAGTTTTTTTTAGTGAAAAAAGTTGTTTATCTGTATTAGAAATCATATTAAAAATATGAGGAACAAACATATACCAAGTGTTTATTCAAGTATTCAATGTCTCTTACATTTTATTGAAAAACAAAAATGCAAAATGAAAATTATAGATTTTTTGTCTAAGTAAGTCGCAACATGAGGGTGCCGAGGCGCGTCCACGCGGGCTAGACGGACGTTTAAGTAGGTTTAGACGTTTTTTCTTAATTTTCAAAAGTCTAGTGATCAATCGAGGCGGTGGCCAGCCACTTAGCGCTTAGGTAAAATTTTTTAGAACAATGATTGGAGTATGACAACATTGAATAGTATAAGAACTTGGAATCATGGATGAACGACAAAAAGTTGGAATATGCCAACATTAAATAGTATAAAATTTTTCCGTACCGTCGAAGTTTCTCAAACAAAAAAAAAAGTGCAGCCCAAGAAATGAGGACTGAACCATGAGGGTGGGGCGCGAAGACTCGGATCGATGTGATACCAAGAAGGAGCAGCCCCATGCAGACGTTTGTGAACAAGGATATTGCTGATCTTCTCGCCAAGGGGTAGAGGAGTCACTTACCCAATTATATACAAACGCCATATAGCATTCCTCATAAATCTATATCTAATTATTATTACTGAAGTCCAAACGGAAATTAATCATTTCTATATGACTAATTAGTAAAGATTTTATCGATTTACAGCTAAATAACCTGAAATTTTAATCAGGTAATTCTTGGTGCTCATTTAAGAGTAACCCTGGTGTTATATAAAATTTTGATTTTAATCATTCATTTATAAGGTAAGTCTGTTAAACTTGGTAAATAATATGTTTGCCATAATGAATATTGTATTGAAATCCGAGAGAAAGATTTATACAAAAGTCTTCTTATAAACTAGCATCTAACTCCTATACAAGAAAGGGAAGAAATAATACAAATCAATTTACATATTACACACCTATTTGTCAATATAATCCCTCAATCATCAGGATTTAGATTGCCTCTTAACACTCTCCCTCAAGTTGGAGAGTGATGTTGAAAGCTCCCAACTTGCGTATCATAACCAAGAAGTCATCTTTGCCCAAAGGCTTCGTAAACACATCTTGAATCTTAGTGCTAACTAAACCATCCTGAATCTTGTCTTGAATGAAATGACAATCTATTTCAATATGTCGCGTTCTCTCGTGGAAGACTGGATTGACAATGTAAAGCTGCCTGGTTGCCGCAGTGAAGTAGAGCATATTCAGGATGTGGCAATTGTAAATCACGCAATAAGCTTCGCAACCATGTAAGCTCACAACATGTCCCCATCATTGCTCTATATTCAGCTTTCGCTGAGGAAAGAGAGACAGTCTTTTGCCTCTTCGTTCTCCATGAAATGTCAGGTTGTTTTCGGCTAAAAATAGAAATCTTTGTCCAGGTGCATTTTTTAGGTATTTGAGTACACGTAAAGCTGCCTCCATGTGTGGTTACCGGCTCATGGATAAACTGCTTAGATCATGTATGATATATGTAATATTAGGCCTTGTGATAGTGAGGTAGATTAGACGACCAACCAATCGCCTATATTGAGATGGATCCTTGAGTATTCCTCCACAGTCAGTGAGCTTGGTTCCTTGCTTCATTGGAAATGAGACCGGACTAGCACCGAATATACCACCATCTTTGAGAATGTCAAGAGTATACTTCCTCTGTGAAATGCAAATACCTTTCTTTGAACGGGAAACCTCAATCCCCAAGAAAAATTTCAAATCCCTAAGATCCTTGATACGAAAACGAGTACGAAGAAATTGCTTGAGAGACCTTATAGCCTTTCATCATTTTTGATGATCAATATATCATCAATATATTACCAACATAGATCAACAAAGTTGTGAGAAATTACCAACATAGATCAACAAAGTTGTGAAAGATGTACCTTGCCTATGAGTGAATAATGAGTAATTGGCCTTTGAATAAATCCAGCAGCTTTAAAATAAAAACAGATGAATTGAAATTTAGATAACCAAAAGCAGATTACCAAATGTTTTTCTTAATTTCCTCTTAACAAAGAAACACATCACGTTCACAACCACCAGTAGGAGAACAAAAAAGATAAAGTTAGGATCAAGTTTGGATGAATTGATTCAAATCCTCTTTCAGCAATCTAATGACGCATAAATTAAGCGGAGAAATCACTTCATAAACCCTAATCACTGGAAAGGAGGAATCTTTGAAAGGGAAGCTCACCACTGCTATCATAGGGCTTGAGCACAGAGGGCGTCGGAGGCTGAAAACAAAAGCCCGAAAAACAAAAATCCAGGGTCTCCTGAAATTGAAAACATAACCAAATTAAACACTCATATGTAGAATCGGAGGCTACAAACCAAACCCCCAAAACCACAAAAAGGAAATTTGAACACAAAATCCATTTGTAAACCCAAAATCACAAAAAAGAAATTCAAACAACAGATGATATCAATATTGTTCTGATAACGAAAGAAAACCCAAGACCGAGAAAGCCGTAAATCTCACCAAAAAAAGGGGAGCTTTTCTGGGTAAAATTTTCTTCGAATCAAACTCAAACCCCGAAGAAAATTCTACTATTGATAACGCAAGGTTTCAGAGTGAGAGAAGCCGAGCTTGAGAGCGGCCCGAGTTCGAGAGATAAGTGGAATAGTCCAGAGGTTGTAGACAAAGAAGACTTCTGAACGATGATACATGGCTAGCATTTTCAAAAACATAATTTCATTGTACCAAGAGAAAAAAAATGGAGTGGCTGAGGGTATTTCCGCCATTGCACTGTTCATTAATAGTGAAAGACAGTGCCGGGAAACTGGGTTTTAGTATATGTATAATATGTGCGACTTCTGTTGCTAGTGTTGAAGCGTTGGCTTTGAAGTGTGGCTGTGAGTTGGGTCTCTCATTGGGTCAGACCCATGTTGTTGTTGAATTTGATTCTCAAGCAACCATTTTATGTTTGTTGGGAACAATCTCTGATGGCAGATGAGAGGCTTTTCCTATTTTAGCAAAGTGTTTGAAGCTTGGGGAAGCCTTTCAGGACTGTTGCTGGTCTTGGATTTCAAGATCAGCCAATTTGACAGTTGACCATTTGGCGTTGTGTAGATGTGTGGAGAAGTGTGATGTGTCTTGGGTTGATCGACCCCCATCTTCGCTAGTGCATGTACTGAATAATGATGGTTTACCTTGTCTACCTTTATTTTGTGTTGGGGGTGCAAGGGGGGACACTTAGAGCTTGGCTTCAAGTGTCGGGTTTTCTACCCCTTGTACTTCCTATCTATTTTTTGGTTGTTTGCCTGGTGTTTGGCTTCGTTGTTCTCTTTGGCATCTCTTGCCTTGGTTTATGCATTTCCAGTTTCCCAAAAAAAGAAAAGAAAAGAAAAAAAAAGCCCAACATGATTCTTTATGGATTCTCTTTATGAGCATCTTGGAGATTCGTAGATGTATCCGTTCATTATTCATCGTACAATCAGTTTTTATCAGGGGTTGTTTGTTTTTAATTTTAAATAACAAATTTTAAAATAATTTCTAACTGCACGATATACGATGAACAGACACAATTCATGAATTTCTAAAATCCTCACAAAAGAAAATCCGGATTCATAAGAAAAACCGCACAAAATCATATGGTTGAATAAAATTCGTACAAGAAATTAGGAATTACAGAAAATGACAACATTGGATAGTATAAGAACTGCAAGAGTGGACAGGAAGAGAAAATGGCGAAATTTACACATTGGAATATATGCCAATTGAATAGTATAACTTTGGAATCATGGATGAAGGACAAAAGAGGGAATATGCCCACATTGAATAGTATCAACATTCTACTGACGAGGTTTCTTAAAAGAAAAAAGAATTGCAACCCAAGAGATGAGGACTGAACCGTGAGGGTGGAGCGAGAAGACTCGGATCGATGTGATACCAATAAAGGTACGACATGCATAAGTTTGTGAAGAATAATATGGTTGATCTTAGCATTCCTTATTGATCCACGTCTAATTAATAAAAAATAAGTTCAAATCAGAAATATATGCCTAATCAGTAATTTTAAGTAATTTATAGCTAAATACCCTTAAATTTTAGTCAGTTAATTTTTGGTGCTCATTTAAGAGTAATCCTGGTGTTACATAAAATTTTGATTTTGATCATTCGTTTATAAGTTAAGTCTGCATTGCCGCTTGATATTACGGTCTAGTATTATTTTTCTTTACTTATAAGTAAGAAGTTTTAAGTTTAATTATCGCAAAATGCGTATTTAAATAACATTATTGTTAGCTTATTGTAAGACCAACCACACTTTCCTAGTGTATATAAACATCGTTCGTTAAAAAAAAATTGTGCATCACAAAATAATGAATGTAATTTGAGAAGGGGAAAAAAAGAACTCCATGTGATACAATCATTAAGAGCAACATTTTTCCATTCACTACAAAATTACATTTACTCCAAATTAACTAAACAAGGTTATTAAAGAAATTAAATGATAGACATAAGTACTCCATGCAACATTAGGCAAAAAAAGCACAATAAAACGGACTTGTTCACTGGCACGATCATCTCCCATCACTAACTGGTAATACAACGTGGTTCCTCATATTATGAAACCCCGAACTTGATTCGCCACCTCCTTCAAAACTAATAGTTTCCATTGATATTCCTCCAAGCAAGGATTCAGTTTCTTCTAAATTGGAATTATCATTAACCCATGGATGCATGACCATCCTTCTCAGCCCCTCCAGTTCCATTGCAACTTCCTTCATTGTTGGTCTTTCTTCCCCTTTTACTCTCAAGCACCCCTTTGCAAGGTTAGAAACTTCCTTAAGCTGCTCAACGTTTGCCTCAGTCACAATACAATCATCAAGAACTTGCAGCAAGCGGTTGTCTTTCAGTGCTGAAAGAAAATAGTTTGCCAAATTTCTCTCTTCCTCCGGCTTGTCAAAGGAAAGAGCCTTCTTTCTTGTTAGTAGCTCTATGAGGACAACTCCGAAACTATATACATCGCTTTTCTCAGTCAATTGGCTTGTCTGCAAGTATTCCGGGTCTAAATACCCAAGAGTTCCTTGCACCATTGTAGATAACTGAGGTTCATCCAATGGAACTAATCTTGAGGCTCCAAAGTCAGACACCTTGGCTGTGAGATTCTCATCTAAGAGTATGTTTGTAGACTTGACATCTCTGTGAATGATAGGAACAGAAGCTGCAGAGTGCAAGTATGATAGCACACCAGCAGTTTCTGTAGCTATCCGTAGACGAATTTCCCAAGGCGCGTTGAATTTGGATGATTTGGTTGTGTTATGGATGTATTCAAATAGGGTTCCATGGGTGACAAATTCATAAACTAGTAGGGGGACTTCGGTTTCGAAACAACAACCTAAAAGCTTGACCACATTCCTGTGGTTGATTTGGGACAGTACGACCACTTCATTTATGAATTGCTCTATCTGGTTTTGATCTACCATTTTGGACTTCTTGATTGCAACTACTTGGCCGCCTGCTAAAATTCCTTTGTAGACTGTACCGAACCCTCCTTTGCCAATGATTCTAGTGTCATGATAATTTTTAGTGGCCTTCTCAAGTTCTCCTGCTGTGAAGATTTTTGCCGTATCATGAGAAGATCCTTGCCATTCTGAAAGTTGCTGTTGTAGCAAGATCCCTCCATTTTGCCTGAAGAACTTCTCCTTCAGCTTCATGAGCTTCCATCCTTTGTATCCCAAATACAACCAAGAGATGCACATTAACAGGGATACGAGGCCTACGCTGATTCCTACATATCCAACAAATTGATTGTAAACCCTGGTAGTTATAACCAAATGGAATGAGTATGTATTGCTATCTAGACCATATGTACCGACCATCTTTTTTTATCACATCCCTAACGAAGTTTGGATTCTTTAAAAACATGTAGAAAAGCATTGAATCAATTGTTAATCACTTGTTACTATATATTTACATGCTTACCAACGACAATTTGGACAACAAAAGTCCGATCAGGGGTGCAACCTTCTCCGTCTTTCCTGCCATCACCATGGTACCCCTTGTGGCAAGAACAAGTATGGTTTCCCTCTGTATTTATACATTTTTGCTTGCATGTATTGAGCTTCGGAACCTTACACTCATCAATGTCTGAAAAACAACATATATAATCCATGCTCAGAAATTAAGCATGTTTTTTAATTAGTAGTACTAATAAAGTGAAATAGAACTACCATAGCAGTCATTTAGGTATGGATTCCCTTGGTAACCGTCCTTGCACTTGCAGCGATACCCGGATCCATTCTCGACATCAGAACACATGGTGTTGCCCTGACATGTGTAATTCATCACTCGTTTCTTCTCAACAACGTTAGAGCATGTCTCATTCCCAACTGACCAATCAAGTACCACCGGAAGTTGTGTTTTTTTCAAATAATCCGACCACAACATATTGGTGAAGAAGTTGAACTTGCCCTCTTGGACAACGAAGGCAAAGCTGCAAGGATTAAAGGAGTACACATCCGTATGATTATCATAACTCCATGCACTTACCTTGAAAGAAGTCATTCCTTGAGCAATGCGTGTTTGACAACAGCCGATACCAGTGCAGGAACCATTGGCAACGTAGTCAATGCTGCCACACACTGTATTGCACCCACCAGTGTATCCGTAGTCTCCATTTTTGTCTCCCTTAATGTGCCCATATGTGTCACAACCAACTGCAACAAACACGTTGTCGGTGTTTGATATGAAGAATTTGGAAAGAGTGACAAAATTGGTGAAGTCGTTAGTCAGCTGGCCTGATTTTTCGAAACATTGTACGGCTGGGTATAGGGTAATGTAAAGCTTCCCATCCACGGATATGTTTGTGACTTCAATCGAATCACTCTTTCTAAGAAATGGTTTTGGGGGGTCATAATGTGTGCTATTACAAGTAATGAGGAAATCCTCATTTAAGTAACAGCCCTCTTTTGTACCAAATGGATATGGGATGCTAACATTCCCACATTTGTCTTGACAACCCGGCTTGACTTCTACTTCACCGGGAGGACGAGGAGAAGGAAGAGGTGGAGAGGTTAGTTGTGTTTGGGCTGAAGTGGCTGCTGCTAATAGTACCTCTATTACTATTAGGAGGATGATAGGTTGCAGAAGCACTTTTTGTTTGCTCATGGTCATGGCTTCTAAGTTTTTGTTGTTGAAAAAAAAGAGATGTTTTGGTCCTTTTATAGGTAGGTAGGAGGAAGACTTGGAGAGGAAGACTGGAAGACTGGGAGTGGAAGACTGGGAGAGGAAGTCTTGGAGGCGAAGATTTGGAGAGGAGACTTGTGAATTGATTGAGCAAACCTTGGAGAGGATACCTGCCATAACTTATAGGACGTGTTACTAATTCTTTCGTGGACATGGTTCATTTTCACAATCAGACAAAATAAAATAAATATCATCAAGAAAACATTACCTAGTATACCTACACTACGCTAACTATATCTACGTATATGCTAATCATTACAACTCGGGACTGTAATTATCACGTTTTCGATCTCTATGGAACTTGGAACTTATTCAATGTACGTATCTTCCAGATGGATCTGTAACTATACATGTTCATGAAGCAAAACAAAACGTAGTTCCACAAGTCATTACTAGGAATTAAGGTGGTTGAAAGAGTCCACCATGACTTTAAACGTAGTCTACAAGTCATTACTGGGAATTAAGGTGGTTGAAAGAGTCCACCATTACTTATGGCTTGGTGAAGAAGCACAACCATTGACCATTCAAAACTAGATGTATGAGTCTTTAGAGGGCCTACTAATAGAAGTTTCTTTCTGTTTTGTCCAGGTCAATCACTAAAATCACTGTCCATGCTTAAAGACATGACTAGTCACTACTTAGTACTACTGTTTAATGGTATTTCTTTTCACTTGTATGGGAGTGGTCTTAGGTTCGTTTCTCGCCAAAGACAAATTTGGACCACATTATTACGGCAAGCCTATTATAAGGCTTACCCCACTCCCCTACCCTCTTAGTGTAGATACTATCATTTGTTATAAAAAAGACATAACTAGTACTTGATTTTCTACTGGGCCAATGTAAATTGTGATGGGTTTTATCATCGCCTTTCATTCGTTTTGAAGAATTCAAACGAAGTCACTTTTCATTCGTTTTAAAGCTGCCTCCATGTGTGGTTACCGGCTTATGGATAAACTGCTTAGAACATGTATAGATTAGACGACCAACCAATCGCCTATATTGAGATGGATCCTTGAGTATTCCTCCACAGTCAGTGAGCTTGGTTCCTTGCTTCATTGGAAATGAGACCGGACTAGCACCGAATATACCACCATCTTTGAGACTGTCATGAGCATACTTCCTCTGTGAAATGCAAATACCTTTCTTTGAACGGGAAACCTCAATGCCCAAGATCCTTGATACGAAAACAAGTATGAAGAAATTGCTTGAGAGACTTTATAGCCTTTCATCATTTTCGGTGATCAATATATCATCAATATATTACCAACATAGATCAATAGAGCTGTGAAAGATATACCTTGCCTATGAGTGAATAATGAGTAATAGGCCTTTGATTGAATAAAACCAGCAGCTTTAACGGCTTCAGTAAATTTTGCAAACCATTGGCCCAAAGCTTGCTGAAGGCCATATCATGATTTGTTGAGGCGACATACCAAGTGCTCCCCTTATTGTCGGAGACCAGGAGGAGGATACACATAGATTTCCTCGTGAAGATCGCCATAAAGGAATGTGTTGTTGACATCAAGTTGATGGAGAGACCAATTGCGGGCTGCAGCAATGACCAGAAGGCAACGAACTGTAATCATTTTTGCAGTGGGACAGAATGTGTCATGATGGTCGATGCTTGCTGTTTGGGTGAAGGCCTTGGCTACAAGTCGAGCTTTATACCACTCAATTGAACCGTCAGAACAACGCTTGATTTTTATGTACCCATTTGCAATCAATTGGGCGTTTGCCTGGAGGAAGGGAAGTGAGCGTCCAGGTGTTGTTGGATTGGAGGGCCTCAAGTTCTGTATGCATAGCCTGCTGCCAATGGATATTTGAATTTGCCTGTGGAAAAGAAGTGGGCTCGACATCCCGACTAATATTAGCAATAAATGATAAATGCTTGGTTGAGTAACGATTGTAAGAAACAAAATTACAAAGAGGATAACGAGTACCGGGTGAAAGACCGAGCAATGATGAAGACAAAGGATCTGGTGGCAGAGTCACCTGCGAACAAATAAAGTCCTTGAGAAGAACGAAGGGTTGTTTGGGACTTTGTGATTGACAGACGGGATTAGCAGGTAGTGGAGGTTCAAGATGAGCAGGTGGCGGGGCGATGGGTGGTTCAAGAGGAGCCGGTGGCATGGCAATTGGTGATTCAAGATGAGGAGGTGGCGTCACGATTGGTGGTGCGATGGTAGTTGGTGGTGAGTCGATGTGGGTAGACAAATTGTCGACATTTTTTTTAGGGAGAAGAGGGCACCGACGCTGAAGGTTTTGGGTTTGACTGAGAAGAAGAAACTACATTAGGTAAAGATGGATTTGGCACATGGGGACCGATGTCAGGTTCTGGGTTTGGCTGAGGAGAAGGGCAAATCATATCGGAAAAAGAGGAATTTGGCATATTGGAAGCACTAGTGTGGTTAGTGGGCCTGATGCTGCCTTTTTTGTTTGGGCTAATTGGGTATTATCTTTGAATTGAAAGGAAAAAATTGCTTCATAAAAACAACATCACGGTTGGTGAAAATTTTCTGGGTGTCCAAATTATATAAACGATAAGTTTTTTGCCCAATGGGATAATCGAGGAAAATGCTTTGAGTGGCACAAGTGGCGAATTTAGAAGTGGGTGAGCGGATGTGGCATAGGCGAGGCACCCAAAAACAAGCATATAAGTAGGGGGCTTGTTGTAAAGTTTCTCAAATGGTGTTTTCGTGGCAAGGACTATGGTAGGAAGGCTATTAATAATATAGCCAGCGGTAAGCGCACTTTCTCCTCAAAAACGGAGGGGAAGTTTGGCTTGGAAGATTAATGCCCTAGTGGTCTCAAGGAGATGCCTATGTTTACGTTCGACAACAAAATTTTGTTGAGGTGTGTAGACGTCTTGGATAAATTGGTGCATAGAATAAAACTCACCCCATTGTCTACTCGATTTGTTGTATTTTGGAATGAAATTGGGTTTGAACAAAGGCAAAGAAAGACTCAAGGATTCCTTGTGTTTTGGATTTATGGCGCATGAGGTACACCCATGTATATCTCGAGTAGTCATCAACAATGATTAAAAAAATTAGTGTGCACCGGTGAGTGAAGTGGTTTTGTGAGGACCCCGAATGTCGTAGTGTATGAGAGAGAAAGGATGAGAAGTAGAAATTGTACTTGTCCCAAATGGAAGACATGTTTGTTTGGCCAAAGAACATATATCACAAGCTATCATGAGAATACAAAAATTTCAAGAAGGATTTTGATAAAAATTCTAAACAGCTTGGAGAAATGTGACCTAACCGTTGATGCCACAAATTGGAAGAAACGGTAACAAGATTACATGAGGGTTTATTTTTGTAGAAAGATTGTTGAGTGGCCAATGCCACAAGGTCGTAAAGTCCTCCGTGTTGTTTACCTAGACCAATTGTCTTCTTCGTAACCAAGTCTTGCAAAATACACCAATACGAAAAAAAAATTACTGAGCAACTCAATCCTCTTGTAATCTTGCTAACCGACATAAGGTCAACTTTAAATTTGGGCACACCCAAAACATTCTTCAATTGAATATATGAATTTAAAGATAAACTGCCAATAGAAGTAATAGGAGCCTTTTCTCCACTAGGTAATACCACTAGTGGTAGGGAAGATTTGATGGTGGTGTCGAGCGAGTGTGGGGAAGACGTGATGTGGTATGTCGCCCCACTATCAATCAACCATGGACAGAGACGCTCCGGGAGTTTAGACAATACCGATGTACTCTCTGCAACATAGGCTTGAGGAGCAGTTGGGTGCCCAGCTCTCTTGTTTATGATGGAGATTATTAATTTGTTGATATTAGATGTCAGAAAGTGATCTGCACCAAGTAAAGCGATTGTCTCCATTGGAGACGAGAATGTAAAAAAAAAATGGACTGGAGGCTTTTGGCTTGTCTCCATCCGAGCTTTGGTCATTACCCATGACAGGAATCAATGACACAATAAAATAGAAGAAAATGCTCGCTCTGTAGGCGCGAGGAATGTAGCGGCGGAAAAGAGAAGGCAGAGCCGAGCAGGGATTAATCCTGCTCTGATACCATGTAAAACTTGGGAAATAATATGTATGCCAGAATGATTGTAATGATATCAGAGAGAAAGATTTATACAAAAGTCTTCCTATAAACTAGCATCTAACTGCGGTACAAGAAGGGGAAGAAATAGTAGAAATCAATTTACATCGTACACACCTAGTTGTCAAATATAATCCCTCCATCGTCGGGATTTAGATTGCCTTCTTACAAAGTCTGCATTAAGATTCAAAGGGAAAAAAAAGTACTCCATGGGATACAATCATTAAGAACAACTTTTTTGCATTCACTATAAAATTACATTTACTCCAAACTAAACAAGGTAATTAAAATTAATTAACTCTGGACATAAGTACTCCATGGAACATTAGGCAAAAAAAAAAGCACAATAAAGCAGACCTGTTCACTGGCACAGTTATCTCCCATCACCAACTGGTAATACAACGTGGTTCCTCATAGTATGATACCCCGAACTTGAATCGCCACCTCCTTCCTAACTAATAGTTTCCATTGATATTTCACCAATCAAGTGCTCGGTCTCTTCTGATATGGATTCATCATTGACCCATGGATGCATTACCATCCTTCTCAGCCCCTCCAGTGTCATTGCAACTTCCTTCATTGTTGGTCTTTCTTCTCCTTTTACTCTCAAGCACCTCTTTGCAAGGTTAGAAACTTCCTTAAGCTGCTCAATGTTTGCCTCGGTCACAATACATTCATCAAGAACTTGCAGCAAGCGGTCGTCTTTCAGTGCTGAAAGAAAATACATTGCCAAATTTCTCTCTTCCTCCGGCTTGTCAAAGGAAAGTGCCTTCTTTCTTGCTAGTAGCTCTACAAGGAGAACTCCGAAACTATAGACATCGCTTTTCTCAGTCAATTGGCTTGTCTGTAAGTATTCGGGGTCTAAATACCCGAGAGTTCCTTGCACCATTGTAGATAACTGAGCTTTGTCCATCGGAACCAATCTTGAGGCTCCAAAGTCGGACACTTTGGCTGTGAGATTCTCATCTAAGAGTACATTTGTAGACTTGATATCTCTGTGAATTATAGGAACAGAAGCTGCAGAGTGCAAGTATGACAGCACTCCAGCAGTTTCTGCAGCTATCCGTAGACGAATTTCCCAAGGCGCGTTGAATTTGGATGATTTGGTTGTGTTATGGATGTATTCAAACAGGGTTCCATGGGCGACAAATTCGTAAACTAGTAGGGGGACTTCGTTTTCCAAACAACAACCTAAAAGCTTGACCACATTCCTGTGGTTGATTTGGGACAGTACGACCACTTCATTTATGAATTGCTCTATCTGGTTTTGATCTACCATTTTGGACTTCTTGATTGCAACTACTCGGCCGTCTGCTAAAATTCCTTTGTAGACTGTACCGAACCCTCCTTTGCCAATGATTCTAGTCTCATGATAATTTTTGGTGGCCTTCTCAAGTTCTCGTGTTGTGAAGATTTTTACCGTTTCATGAGAGGATCCTCGCCGTTCTGAAAGTTGCTGTTGTAGCATGATCCCTCCATTTCGCTTGAAGAATTTCTCCTTTAGCTTCATGAGCTTCCATCTTTTGTATCCCAAATACAACCAAGAGATGCACATTAACAGGGATACGACGCCTACGCCGATTCCTACATATCCAACAAATTAATTGTAAACCCTTGTAGTTATAACCAAATGAAATGAGTATGTATTGCTATCTAGACCATATGTACCGACCATCTTTTTTATCACATCTCTGACGAAGTTTGGATTCTTTAAAAGCATGTAGAAAAGCATTGAATCACTTGTTAGTATATATGTGTATGCTTACCAACGACAATTGGGATAACAAAGTTCGGATCACGGGTGCAACCTTCTCCGTCTTTTCTACCATCACCATGGTACCCCTTGTGGCAAGAACAAGTATGGTTTCCCTCTGTATTTATACATTTTTGCTTGCATGTATTGAGCTCTGGAACCTCACATTCGTCAATGTCTGCAAAACAACATAACCCATGCTCAGAAATTAAGCATATTATTTTAATTAGTAGTACTAATAAAGTGAAATAGAAATACCATAGCAGTCATTTAGGTATGGATTCCCTTGGTAACCTTCGTTGCACTTGCAGCGATACCCGGATCCATTCTCGACATCATGACACGTTGCGTTGCCCTGACATGTGTAATTCGGCACTTGTTTCTTCTCAAAAACGTTAGCGCAGGTCTCATTTCCAACTGACCAATCGAGTACCACCGGAAGTTGTGTATTTATCAAATAATCCGACCACAACATATTGGAGAAGAAGTTGAACTTGCCCCCTTGGACAACGAAGGAAAAACTGCAAGGATTAAAGGAGTACACGCTCGAATGATTTTTAAAACTCGTTGCACTTACCTCGAAAGAAGTCATTCCTTGAGCAATGGGTGTTTGACAACAGCCGATACTAGTGCAGGAACCATTGGCAACGTAGTCTTTGCTGCCACACACTGTAGTGCACCCACCAGTGTATCCGTAGTTTCCATTTTTGTCTCCCGTAATGTACCCATGGGTGTCACAACCAACTGCGACAAACACGTTGTCGGTGTTTGATATGAAGAATTTGGAAAGAGTGACAGAATTGGTGAAGCCGGGAATCGGCCGACCTGATTTTTCGTAACATTGTACGGCTGTGTATTGGGTAATGTAAAGCTTCCCATCCACGGATATGTTTGTAACAATCATATTACTCTTTCTAAGAAATGGTTTTGGGGGGTCATAATGTGTGCTATTACAAGTAATGAGGAAATCCTCATTTAAGTAACAGCCCTCTTTTGTACCAAATGGATATGGGATGCTAACATTCCCACATTTGTCTTGACAACCCGGCTTGACTTCTATTTGACCGGGAGGAGGAGGAGAAGGAAGAGGTGAAGTGCTTAATTGTGGTGTTTGGGCTGAAGTGGCTGCCGCTAATAGTACCTCTATTATTATTATTATGAGGATGATAAGTTGCGGAAGCACTTTTTGTTTGCTCATGGTCATGGCTTCTAAGTTTTTGTTGTTGAAAAATAGATGTTTTAGTCCCTTTATAGGTGGGAGGAGGAAGACTTGGAGAGGTTGTTTTAGTCCTTTTATAGGTAGACTTGGAGAGGAAGCCTTGGAGAGGAAGACTGGGACAGGATACCCGCCAGAACTTTAGATACTGTTTTAAAAGTGGATGACCCACTTGAAGAAAAAGCGGCACCGACAGCCAACAAATACTGAAGGTGTGATGCCCATTTTCACCTTGGCCTTACCAATGAAGATAATTTCTCCGTATAAAGGCTTATTAGCTCACAAATATAACAGAGAGATATAGATACAATGTATTGTTTTCATTATTATGTAAAATTCAGTATGATAATGAGAGAGACTACTACTACAGCTCTAAGGACATAGGCACAATTACCGAACATTATAAATATCGTGTCTTATTTATTTTATATTCCATTGCACACATGTCATCAATTTCACAACATGCTATCAACACGAAAAACTCTAGTCTAAGAGGAAAGCACTACACTTCCCGGTTTAGCATGAACCAGACCCAAATCATTTGTCAAGCCATGAAAGTGCTATATAGAATCCAAACCCAAGACAGTTCAAAACAACAGCATTCTCAGGTATTGTCCATTTCTCTTTTCCACCTATTTTTTGTTCATTGTGCCAGAAGTGCCCTTCCGAAATTCAGTGAGAATTGAGATTTCTAGCGACTTGAAAGTGACATGAAAGAACTGTTGTATCTGACAATTGGTTTTCAGAGATCTCAGAAGATTCTCATCAGATTTGGAAATCCAGATCACGTTGTTCTCGACGGTCCCTGAGGACTCATAGTGATGCTAGTTTTGAGTTTTTGGAACCAATCATGAGTAAAAATGCAAGTTAATCATAGAAAGTTTCTTAAAGTGCTTCTTGTAAGAAGTACTAGTTATGTGTTTTTTGCAAGAAGTATTTTAAGTGCTTTTAAAATTCAAAACTATTTTTGCTAAAAGTACTTTTAGTCATTTTAAAATCATTTCCAAACGAATCATAAATACAAGTTGAACTCCAACAATAAGATACCATTAATATGTGGTTTGTCAATTAAACCGCCGTATATCCCATGGCTGCGTGCAAGTCATATGTAGATAAGAAGTGCCATGACTCAGATTTTCGTCTACAGTGCTGACGTAAGCAGGCTGACGCCACTGCCTGACGATTGGGTGCTGACGTAACTACTGCCTGAAGGTTGAGTTGGTGCGTGCAGGATCATCCTACCGTTTTTAGAACCACAAAATTTGAAATAGATCCAACTTTATTGACCATTTTTTGAAATATGTTCAATTTTTAGTGATTTTTAACTTTTGAAATATATCCAATTTTTAATTACTTTACCCATATCAAAATATCCCCTTCAAATCCCGTTTTCAGCCATCTCTCTGATTGAAGGAATCACATCACACTGGCCAAATATCTTATTCATGATTATAATTTATTATTTTTTAAAACCGGAAAAAAATATTATTTAAATTATACAAAATTTCCCAATTAAAATTGTCATTAAGAGCTGCTAAGAGCTGTTATTGTCAACAAGGGTTGTATGGACATGGCTATTGTCAATATCAATTATTACTCACAGTAAATGTTGTCAAGTGAGGTTGATCTAGGGGTGGGCAAACGGGTAGAGGAACTGCGGGTCGGGGCGGGTAGCGTAGGTTCGGGGTGTGTATGGGTTGGGTCCTATTTTTTTTTTGAGAACAAACGGGGCGGGCTGGTTCCTAAACCTTAGAAAAACGGGGTCCCAGACCGACCCGTTTCTAATTATAATCAACGGTCGAGATTAAATGATAACCTATCATGCAATCCGAACCGTTAATTTCTAACCTAGGTTCCAGAAGCAGTTTCAGACTTTCAATCTCACTTTCTCACTCCCACTTCTCCACCATCCCTCGACTCCCTTGACTCGACTCTAACGACATCCCAGAGAATGCCCATGACTGCCGCTACAACCAACACAACGACACCACCACCACCCATCCAGCCATCCTCCGACCTCGACGACATCTGTTACTTCGTCGGCTATCGTAAGTCTACTTCTTTGAATTTTATTTTTGTTGATGCGGAGAATCAGTAGCACTAGCAAGGGTAGCATGAATAATAGGATTTGATTAGAGACTAAATCTTTAGGTGTGAGTAATTTGATGAATGCATGAACATTTAGGGTGAAGGAATTGTGGATCTGTTTGGATGGGAGTGAGATTTGGGATTTGTGTTGGGATTTGGTTATTGATTGGAATTTGGGATTGGGATTGGGATCGGGATTTCAATTTGAGTGTTTATTGCGTTTTTCAGATTTGGGTTTTTTTTTCTTCTAGTTTTTACTTACTTCCTTTTCCTCTTTAATTCCTTAATTATAAAATTCAATTGCCAACCTCTGTTTACAAAATGTTGATAAACTGTAAATTGATTTCAAGTAAAGGCTTGTATTCTTTGATTTCATGGAGATCTTACTTGATCATCTTTGATTCAAGTAGTCCCTCCCTATGTTTTGATCTTTGTGAATGTTTGATTCCAACTGCTGCAGTAAATACCTCTCTTCCTTAATTATACAATGTATGCTTCAAGCCTTTAAGAGTTGTTAGACTACTAATAGGGTTTTGTTAGGTGAATGGGAAATTATGACATGGAACAGAAATGGTTTCACAGTTTTCATACTGTAGGTTTCTAGCGAAAGATTAAATACTGCTTTGAACCCAAAACAATTTGGTTCTTCTTTATTTTTAAGCTATCTGTACAGCCTCCTTAATCCAGTTTGCGGTTGTACTTAAATGGTTTGTAGGGATTGTTGATTGCAATCATTTGTCTATATCGTAAATGGTTTGTGATTGATTTCTTCAGTTTTTGTTGTGTTGTGTTTGTCTTTTCGAGATGTCCCTTCCCTCATCTTGTTTTGCTGCAGCTCTACTTTACCTCCATTTTTGTTGTACTCATTTGTCTTAATTTGGTCGTTTGTTTTGTGTTGAAGTGCTTGCTTGTTTTGTGATGTTTACGCTACATTGAATGACATTGGCAGGGGATTTGCGAGATTTGTGAACATAAGAGATGGAGGCGGTGCAACCCCATTGCATTTAGCAACCAGCCAAAGACGGCCAGAGCGAGTTCATGTTCTTTTAGACAATGGGGCTCTTGTTTGTGCTTCAGCTGGTGGATATGGGTAATTATCTATATTAATTATTACTCATGTTATAGATTTATAGTAATACTTTGACAGTTAGATTGATTGTAGTACCATATGTGTGCAGCTACCCTGGAAGTACATCGCTTCAATTAGCTGCTCATGCTGGATCCTTAGATTGTGTCAGAGAGTTGCTTGCTTAGGGAGCGGATCGGCTTCAAAAAGGCTTTTTTTGGGTAACTTTCTTTAATCTATGAATTTGGACGATGTGTTATTATTTTGGATGATGTATTGTTATTTTGGATGATGTCATGTAATATTGTTATTTTGGACTCTCGAAATTTGGATGTGTTGTTATTTTGGACGTTGGTAGTGCCGTAGTGGTTGAATGATAGAATTTGTGCAATTGCAATTTGTGTAAATTTTAGCTTTTTTTTTATTTTTATTTTTTAAAAACCAAAAAAAAAAAAAAAAAAAAAACAAGGACCCATGGACCCTGCCTGAACCGGCTCGTTTCAATCGGGCCAGATAAGGTTCGGTTCCTATATTGAAAATTGAAATGCCGAACCTGGCCCGGTCCGTCTCATTTGAACCAAGGCCCGGTCCGGTCCCTTCAAAATTGGGTCCAGTTCGGTCCGTGCCCACCCCTAGGTTGATCCATAAATCCATTATTTCTAATTATTACTCACCGTAAATGTTGTCAAGTGAGATTGGCCCACAAACCCATTATCTCTCGAAAAGGATCCAACGATCATGGCTATTGTCAATATCAATTATCACTAAATGTTGTCAAGTGAGGTTAATCTGCAAACCCATTATTTCTAATTATTACTCACAGTAAATGTTGTCGAGTGAGATTGACCCACAAACCCATTATTTCTTGAAAAAGATCCAACGAACATGGCTATCGTCAATATCAATTATTACTCACAGTAAATGTTGTCAAGTGAGGTTGATTCACAAGCCCATTATTTCTAATGAGTAATTACTCATAGTAAATGTTGTCAAGTGAGGTTGATCCACAAACCCATTATTTCCAATTATTACTAACAGTAAATGTTGTCGAGTCCTCGCCGGAATCCTCTCGGATTCGAATGGGGTTTGGCTCCTGTCGTGAACAGAGAGTGTGTGCAAGAGAGGTTAACGAGAGGGAGAGTGAGAGGGGCCAGATGTTGGTTTGGGTCGATCTCGCCGGAGATGACGGCGAGCGGTGGTGGTCCTCGGTGTTCACCTGAGACGGGGAGGGTAGTGTCCGAGGGGGAGAGAGAGACGAACGGAAGAGGAGATGAGGGAGAGAGAGTGTCCATGAGTGGTGGAAAATAATGCCACGTGGCAATAGCTGAGAGGGGTTTGAAATAAAATAATATAAGAAAAATGAAAGATATGTCCGGGATAATAAGGAGAGGACACGGGAACAAAAAGGAGAGGAGACCCACTGAGGGGGTCCCACGAACACAGAAAGCTCACCAGAAAATAATAATAAAATAATAAAGGTGATCTGAAATAATGAATTTACTAAAATACGCTTTTATTTCGTAGCTTCGTAATATCTTCATCGTAGCTCGATTTCAATTCCGCTTGCGCTTTCGTAGCGACGAATACTACGACAATATGCTAAGAGAATGGTTCTTATATGTTACGATACAATGGTCAACGAAAGTCAAAATTCTCACTTCTAGTGGCATTTTCATAAATTCACTTTTTTAAAATTAATAAAATTGTAAAATTAAAGATGGGTTGTCACAATAAGTTTATAAATAATAAATGTGCTATAATTACTTAAATTTGATAAGTTTTTAAAATAAGAACTTATATTAGGTTTTGAAAACCATTCATGTTAAATCTAAAAACAATCTTATTGAAGCCCTAAAATCTAAAAGCCCCATATATACCAGCGCTGCCAAGAGGAGGTGTAATAAAGAAGATTGTGGCTGACTTAGTTAAACGCTCTTAACCAACTGATCTACGTTCTCACCACGATGAAATTATGTATGAGATGTATGTGTTAGAGCAATATTAGAAAATATGAAAATTATAAAAGAATTCCATGATAATAATCATCAAGAAAATCACAACATAAATTGTATGATTAATATAAACAATTAGAGAAAAGTAAGAAATCTTGACAAACTTGGAGATTGAGGCTTGCATAAATACAACGTCCTAAAGACAAAATTTCGTCCCTACTCTTGTGCTTGTAGTTCGATAGACATCCGTCTCCCAAGATTCAACAATTTATAATCCAAAGTCAAAACACTTCAATCTTTGAACTTCATATATAATTTCCAAGAGTATGTGCATGTATTTATGTATATATATTTATGAAGCCGAATAACCTCAAGAAATCCCCCATTTGGTGGTGGAATTGTAATTAGGGTTGGAACTTGTATGGATCTATTTGCAAAATCCTATTTGGTGATGATCCTAGTTAATGTTAGTAGTTTTCATGATATGACTTGTTTGATATGGGAATTCTTGCAACTGAATTTTGTTTTTGGTAATTCAAGTCGCAATGACAATTTTCTTGATTGTGTTCCAAGTTTTTGGTATTTAGATTAGTTTGTTTTTCTCTTTCCTTTGCCTAAGTGTAGGGCGCATTCAAATTTCCGCAGTTGTTCTAAAATTTGGACGAGAAAATTTATTTGGCCAAAATTAGATGCAGTTGAATCATTAATTACAATGTATCAATTGTGTGATTTCTCAAAAACAAAAGAGATTTACATAATAAGTTGAGCCGAGCTGAATACCCAAGTATTAAAGCTCAGGTCTATAAGGTAGCAGAGTTTACTCGATCTTAGCTTTTGAATAATACGAATTGCAAACAAGCTTTACGAGCCCAATTTACCAAAAACCAAGCACTGGGATACTAGTTCCACCTTTTTTCTCCTGTACCGAGCTTGAACGCGCCAAAGCGACCGGAAAAAAAATAAAAATAAAAACTTTATTTGTATTGAAAAATATTTACTTCCCCAATTGAAGTAAAAATGGAATAAAAGCTTAAAGACAGAAAAAAAAAAAAAGGGTTTAAATGAGCCGACCAATTGGACCACGGACTAATTTGGCATGCCCATGTAAGTGTAACAAGAAATTAATTAGATGTTTTGTGCGAAAATTCAAAATGATTATATTTTATGTCGTTCTTTAAATATCAATTATGCAAAAATCAACTAAATTTAAAATATTTTATTCATCGTACAATTATTCGATAAAATGAGAAGGAAATATTAATCGGCTGATTAAACAATTTTAGATTTGATTAACTTTTAATAAAGTTGATCTTCAAAGGGTAATGATAGGATTTTACTATCTGCAAAAGTAGGGATAAAAACATTTAAAAATACTTGCAATAGTACAATGTTATTGTAGTATAGCAGCTCCAGCAAGGTCATTTTTCAAAGAAATTGAATGAATAATTTATGTAAATACTAAATCTTAATTAATTATTTGAAAACAAAGTTTGGAAGGGTTGATTTAATGTCCTAAAATATTAAAAACGAATTTAATTAAAAACGATTAAATAAATTGGGAAAGTAAAAAAAAAAAAGTTTTGAAAATAAATTTAAGTACTAGAGTTCAGCCGTCACCTTAACAATCCTACGTAGTTCTTCAATTACTTATGACTTACACATGCATAGTTGAAGGTTAGGTTTTCCTAATATATATGCTTCTTGGAATCTTCAACATAGAACGTATGTCTAACATGCAACTCGTCTGTGGTGTCCAGATTGAATGTGAACATGCAAGACTCATTAAGTTTTGTGAAAACCTTTTGAAAAATCATATAACCCTTAAGACGTGTCGTCTATCCTAAGAAGTTACACAAATTAACCACAAGAAGCTAGCGCCAATTCCAGGGACAACCCTCAGCCAAAATTGCATCAAATTACTTTTCTAAATATCCTAATGGTAACCAATCATCAAGACAATTAGATAGTTTAAATCGGTGATTAATAATTCAAAACTTGCATGCATAATATCATAACCAAATTGAAAAGAGATCACATATTCTTGCTAGGACTTGTGGCCTCGCCCTAACAAACGAAACTAGTTACGAACAATCATAAAACAAAATATTATTAAGAATATGGATAGAAAACACCTTGAAAATAAACTTCAAAGCTCTCAAAAATGTGTGTGTTTCCTCCTTTCCTTCCTTCTTTTCTCCAAAAAAACCCTAATGGCTAAAAAACCTTATTTATACTACTAGAAAATAAAACCCTACCTATCTTGGAATAATACTAGGAAACCAAATAGAATAAGATAACTAGGAAATAAAAGGTTTCCAATTTAAACTGAAATTCGGACTTCTCAGAAAATTGGATTTTTGACCGACCCAATCAACTCCGATTTGCTCCCAAAAGGTCTCTTTTGAAAGCTGAAGACGTACCCTACCAATCCTCAAAAGGAATAGTCCTCAAAATATGTCATCTTGACCTCCAAAATATCCAAAATGTCCAGAAACGTCAATCTGGGAAAGTTGCGTGTTGGGTCTTTATTTCATCGCCATGGTCAAATGGATTGGTAGAAAAATTTGAATTTTGATAAATTATCTTGAAAGACTCAAGAACATCCTCCAATTGGAATCACTTCAAAATTCATCCGTTTGATCACTTTTTGCTCCGAAGTCAAATGTTTTATATTGAAAATACATAACAAAATATCAAAATTCTACCAAAATAACCAATAAACTATAACTAAGAATAGGGTAAAATGTATGGTATAACATAAACTTATCAGGTAAAATAGAAAATATATGATTTCGATTATCTTGCAACATTGCAAAATGAGAGGAAAATTCAAGAAAGTCCAACAGAAAAAGGTCGATAACATCCCCATCTTCGCATGTAAAGAAAATCATACAAAAAGTTGGCTGCAATGTGCATATTAGAAGCCGGATTTAGCCACCATTTGGTACATCCCTGCCAACCTAACCATTTTACAACGGAATTCATACCCCGCAACAAAATTCAAATATCTGAAAAGCAAAAGAAGAAAAAGCAAAAGCCACTTTTTCCCTCACTTCCCACAAATTAAATAAAAATGCTACCACCACTGCATAAATTGTGTAACCATTATGTTCCTACATTAATTCAAAATCCACGAACTTGGTTCCTGCATTAGCAAATGCTCACCCAAAAAGCACTTCCTACAAGAATTTCACAATGTCCAAATGTCCAATGCAACCCTCCAATTTCTGCTTCCAACAAAATCTCACCTTGTCCTCAATCTCCTAGCAACTCCACGTCCTCTGCCTCCTCCTTCACTTGCACCACAAGCAATTCCAACTCAAGCGCTTCCTCATTAAGCTCAGCCTTGTCAAGTGCTTCTAAGGTCTCCAGCTCAAAAATCAACCGGTCTTTCTCC